GGACGCGCAGGGCGTGGGCGGGGGCCCTGGCCTGAGGCCGGGGGGAGGGGACATGGGGGGGCCGTCAGGGAAGGCCTCCTGGAGGAGGCGCCGTCCAGGCTGCGACTGAGAGCGAAGAGGGCGGGAAAGGAGAGTTCGGGGAGGTGGGACTCGACGTCAGGACAGCTGGTCCGTCCCTGCCCACCTCTGGATGCCAGTTTGTGCGGGTGGAGGGGACACTGGGGCCCCGGGGGGAACGGAGTCACCCAAGGTAGGGAACGCAGGGTCCACCCCAGGATCCTGCCTCCCAGGCCGCCCTAAGTGCCACCTCCTCGCCCTGTCCCACAGTGCCACCTGCCGGGAGTGTCTTCACCTTCCGCCGCTCTTCCCCTGGGCTCCTGGCGCGCCCAGCTCGGGCCAGCCTCAGGGCCATTGCACTGGCTGTGTCCCCGCCTGCGATGCCACTGTCCTCTGCCTGGCCAGCTCCTGCCTTGGTTCGAGTCCGGACTCTGGGCCCGGCTCCTCAGGAAAGTGCCCCGGGGTCCCCAGATGGGGGTGGGTCCTGCCCAGCCCAGAGCCCAGCCCCCGCCCCGGCCCCCTTCTCCACAGCCCTGTCCCTTGGGGTCCCCTGGGGTCCCCTGATGAATCATTTCTGTGTGATTCTTGACCACTGAGCAGGAGTCGTTCGAAGCCCAGGGCCCCGCGGCATCCTCAGCGCCCGGCGCTTGCTGGACGGACGGACGGACGGGGGGCGCGCGGCTGGCCGTCCCGTGCCCGCAGGCTGAGGATGCAGCGCTGGAAGGCGGCGGCCTTGGCCTCGGTGCTGTGCAGCTCCGTGCTGTCCTTCTGGATGTGCCGGGAGGGTCTGCTTCTCAGCCACCGTCTGAGGCCCGGGCTGGCCCCGCTGCGCCGCCTGCCCCGCGCCCTGGACGCCCGGATCGCCCGCCTGGCCCAGTGTAAGCCCCTCCCCTGTGTCGGTCAGACGCCCCTGGTGCAGCGGTGGGATCTGGGGGGCGGGCCACAGAGGCGCTTGGTTTCTTTTTTGAGATGGGTGCTGGGGAGGCTGCAGATCCCGCCCCCACCCCGCCCCGGGGCCTGGCAGAGCTAGGCTGGCCTCTGGGACCCGGGGTCTTTTGGCTCGGCTGTCACAAGGAATTAGGCTCTGGCCCTGAGGTGCCGAGTGGGGCCAGATGGAGATTAGACCTGGGCGTTTGGCCCGGGCGGCCCCCGCGGCGCGGGGGGGGGGGTTGGGGGGTGGAAGAGGTTGGATCCGAGGTCCCGGTGACCTGCCCCAGGAGAGACAGAAAGAGACCTAGAAGTGAGGAGAGACCCCGGGAGAGGCCAGCGAGAGAGAGAGAGAGACAGAGACAGAGACAGACACACACAGAGGAGAGACAGAGACAGAGACAGACAGGACTGGGAGACACAGCCATGGCCCTGGGGTAGAGAACTGGAAAACACATCCCGAGGGTGAGACCCTAGCCCAACTCCCCACCCGCCCCTGGCGCCCACTCCTTTGCAGCTGTAGGTGCGATGGGACAAGGGCCGTGTGCAGGCCCTGACCTCGCGTGTGCCCTTGGGGACCGCCGCGTGTAGACACGGGCGGGACTCGTGTGCAGCGCCTGGGGGTGTAGACCGCCAGCAGGTCCGTGTGCCCGTCTGCACCCGCCCTGTCACCCACACAGTCCTCTTTTCTTGTCCTCACAATGGACAAGGGTGGCCTCGGGCGGGAGCGCTGCTTCCGTCTCCGCCACTCCCCTCTGCAAGTGGCGTGACATCCTTCCTAGGACACGGGACAGAGACCCGGGCAGGGCCCCCGAAAGCCAGGCGGGGGGGGGGGGCAAAGCATGAACGGAGGAACTTCTGGCACCGGGAGGGTCTTGGCCCTTGGGTGGGTGCCCGCCCACCCTGGATCCTCCCTGAGTCCCCGAGGTCCCCGTGTTCTAGGCTTGGGGCTGACGCCTGGGTGGCAGAACGTCAGGCTGGGGCTTTCCCTCCGCGTTCCAGGCCCCCTGCACGAGCCGGCCCGGCTACAGGGAGGGAGGAAGATTCCTCGTTGTTTATGTGAACGAAGATTCCTCGTTGTTTATGCGAACTGGGGATTTAACTGGGCATCTGTGTTATATCTGGCACCCCCGGAGGGACCGCCTGGAACGCGCACCTCCGGGTGGGCAGTGGTGGGGTGCCAGGCACCTGCAGTGAGCTGTGTGAGCCCCTAACTGCACAGCACTGTCCCCGCCACCCCAGTCCCGCCTCTGGGCTCAAAGAACCCGAACCAGGCTGCTCAAGTCGTCCACCCCGTCCCACCCTCTCAGCCCCAGTCCAGGGATGATGCAAACTTCATGCAACAGAAAGGGAAACTGAGGCAACCCCCCCCTTCCTGTGCAGGTTGCACAGGGTGAAATCAGCAGAGCCAGGTTCGGAGCCTGGATCTGCTGGTTTCCGAGACCCCCCCCCCAGGGAGAACAGACACCCCCCCAAACCAGGGCGACAGCCAGCCCTCTCCCAGCCCACCTCCTCCCCTCGCCCAGAGGGCTCATTCCTTCGACTGCCAGGTGCACCGGCCTTGGGGACAGGCAGGGACTAAGCGCAGGATGTCCGCTCCCCACCACAGGCATGACTGCCACCTGCTGGGGCTGGGAGCGCCGCCCGCCCTTCCAACGTGGCTTCTCTCCTGGGGCTGCCGGGCACTGGGGCAGGGCCAGCCGCTTGGGTAATAAATTTAGGCCGAGGGCCCTGGGAATCTTTGCCTCTGGGCACCTCCTGGCGAGTGTGGGAGCAGAAGGCTGGGCTCGAGCCAAACTCGGGGGAACGATGGAGGTGAGAAGAATGTCCTCTGGGTCCCCCTCCCTGTCGTGGCTGCCTGCCAGGGGTATGACCTTGGACAAGTCTCTGCCCTCCTGGACGGTCTGCTTCCTTACCTGTCCCCTAGGGGTGGCCCTGACAGTTGCTGCTGCCACCCCACGGGGTGGTGTCCCCACGGGGTGGCGTCCCCACGGGGTGGCGTCCCCACGGAGGCCTTGAATGCAGCACTGCTGCTCCACGGAGAAGACCAAATTCCCCGAGTTAGTTTCTTGAGTGGGAAACCGAGGGCCACCGCACGGTGGAGCAGCAGGGATAGGGGAGAAGATGTGGAGGCCTTGGGTGGCATGCCCACGGGGAGTCAGAGAGTCTTACTAAAGGGCGAGAGACGGGGTGTGGGAAGCAGACCTCCAACATTGCCCAGAGAGGGTGTGCCAGTGCCCGAGGGTAGCCTAGCAAAGCAGCAAAGAGGTGGGGGCGGCTGGGACCCACTGGGGACAGGGATTTGGGTCACCTCCCGCCCTGCTCAGCCCTCCCTCTCTCTTCTGCAGCGAGGCGGGTGGGGGAAACAGATCAGTGAAAAGCAAGCCCCCATCCCGGAGCGGCCCAGCATAGGGATGGGGTCCAGACAGGGTTGGGCTGGAGGGGGAGAGAACGCAGACAGGGGGTGGAGATGGCGCCCCGGGGAAGTGCGTTAGAGACCCGGGTGTGCTCAGCTCCAGGTGGGGCGGGCTGGAAGTGGCCCCGGGCATCCAGAAGGGCAGAGCCAGGCTCTGGGCAGCTCGGGGTATGAGCAAGGCTCAGAGAGGGGGGCTGCTACCCCTGGAGACTCAGCATGGGGCGGTCCCTACCCCCAAAGCCGCCCAGAGAGGGTGCATGAGCAGCCCAGCAAAGGGGGGCGAGATCTGGGATCTGGGAGTGAGATGAGAAGCCGTCGAGCCCGGCGTCCCGGCAAGGGGGCACGGCGAGGGTGGCGGGGCTCCCTCCCACCCTCTG